AGTGGCTGCCGATGATGGAATCCGCCCTCAAACAAAAGAGGCAATAGCTCATGCTAAAGCTGCTGGCGTGCCAATAGTAATAGCTATAAATAAGGTATGCCAAGCATAGTGGCACTTTTTTTCTTTTGACCATTTGTTTGGATAAAAAATAAGGAAGAATAGCTGCTTTGCTTGCGTTGCTTATGGCATCATGATTTGTTGAATCTCAATTCTATTCATTCTAATGGTACCAGATAGACAAGGATGGAGCTAATCCAGATCGAGTCATGCAAGAGCTTTCTTCTATTGGTCTAATGCCAGAGGACTGGGGTGGTGATGTTCCAATGGTCCAGGTTGTTATTTCATTTAGAAGAATTGTACTTATATATTTTGTTATGCCTTATACTCTTTCTGAGCGCTTCCTTCTGTGGGTTTAAACAGATTAGTGCTCTTAAAGGGAAGAATATAGATGAGCTTTTGGAAACTGTTATGCTAGTTGCAGAGGTAAGGCAGATGTGAATGGATGTTTACGCATTAGCTTTGATATACTGTTGCAATAATATATTTTTTTTTCTAGCTATCTTGGTTGTCTGAATTTGTTTTTTGGAAAGTATTCTGGTGGATGAATTTATTTTTCCTAACCTTTTGTATGATTTTTGTAGTTGCAAGATTTAAAGGCTAATCCTCATAGAAGTGCGAAAGGCACAGTCATTGAGGCCGGTCTTCATAAATCTAAAGGACCTTTAGTTACACTTATCGTGCAAAATGGAACCCTTAGACGGGGGGACATAATAGTTTGTGGAGGATCCTTTGGAAAGGTTGGTGGATAACAATTTTTGAACTCTGAGCCCATTTGCTTAGATCTAATCCACTTTTTATGCGGCTCAAATGGTCAACATTTTGACTAACATGAGGCACATTTTATTATTACCATGGTCAGGTGCGGGCTTTATTTGATGATGGTGGAAATCGTGTCGATGAAGCTGGACCCTCTATGCCTGTTCAGGTTTGTCGTTCATATATTCTTTTATTATTTTGTTTTAAACTGTCTTTCATTCTTTCTCTGTTGTTTTAAGCAGTGACTTAATTCAAAAGTTATAGTGGATCATAAGTAAATCCAAATGTCTGAATGTTTGTAGGGCTTGTCGGATATTAGTAGAAATTCATTGTAGGGTTCTAATTGGAGAAATAGAAGCTGACAGTTTCAAAATTTTGCGGGTTTGTGTTGCAATTTAAGTGAGCTTTGTAAGTACAATACATTATTAAGTATAACTGGGGTTCTTTTTATTTATTAAAAAGATGAAACTGTAGTGGTAAGTTTGGATTTCCAGATGCTGTGTAATTCTTTATCGCCGTTGACATGCAAGTATTTGTATTAGCTTCATTATTCCTCTGCTTCCATTTTGTTGACATTATGATTACTATAAGCAATTACAGTTGGGAAGATAAATGGCACAGCTTCCTCTGATTGCTAAATTTTTCAACATAACTGAAAACACATTTGTTGTAGCACTGCTTTCTATGGTGGTTAATAGTAGAAAACTATATATTCTTCTCTAAAGCTTCTATGAGCAGCCATTTTATTTCACTGTCTATAAGTTGCTTACACGAGTGCCCTTTTTCAAGGATGTTTTTGTTTTTAGTTTCTTCTTTATTTTTATGTGATATGTATTCAAGTGTGTCGCATGATTCTTGTTTCAATGCCTGAATAGCAATTTCTGTGTCTACTTGTAGGTTCTTGGATTAAATAATGTTCCTGTTGCTGGTGATGAATTTGATGTTGTTGGCTCCCTTGATGTTGCACGCGAAAAGGCAGAGTCACGTGCTGAGTCATTGCGAAATGAACGTATATCAGCTAAGGCTGGTGACGGCAGGGTTACTCTTTCTTCCTTAGCATCTGCAGTCTCATCAGGAAAGCTGTCTGGATTAGACTTGCACCAGCTAAATATTATTCTGAAGGTTGATCTTCAGGTATGCATATTCATCGGTTGTAAAGTATGTTGTTTTTCATGTTGCAACCTTGAGTTTAACAACTGATGAGTTGAGTTTTTATTTTAATTTAGACTGATTAAAGAAAAAAAATACAATTATCAGAATAAACCATAGTGTGGAACCTGACAAGGCACAACCTACCTATTTATACGCAGAAAGGACTATCATTCACAATATTGATTAAAAGTTTGGACTAGTTATGTTATTGGGTTTTAAAAGTATAAGAAAAACAGCTTAATTTGTGGTTGGAAAAGCGGAGAATTTTTTTTGGAATATAAGCCGGTTAGACAGTTGGCATGCTCAATGAAGTTGTATGCATGTGGAATGGTAATTAGACATCATGGATGAAATGAATAACAACAGCAAGATTGAATTATTTTCAGATGTCCATTACAGGCTTTATTTTCGCTATAAGATGGGAATAATTTAGTTTTGCAACTGGCCCCTTAAGAAGTGCACAATTGATCAAAATCTTAATCTGTTCTTCTAATTTTCACCAGTCAATATATAGTTTGGTAACTGGCCCTTCAAGAAGTGTCTAACCAATTTCAAGTTTCATAGATAATTAGTCTTTATTTGAACTGTACTGAATTATATCATGATTATTGTCATGTCTAGGGATCTATTGAGGCTGTCAGACAAGCCCTGCAGGTGCTCCCACAAGATAATGTCACCTTGAAGTTTCTCTTGGAAGCAACAGGTGATGTAAGCACCAGTGATGTTGATCTTGCTGCTGCCAGCAAAGCCATCATTTTCGGATTCAATGTCAAAGTACCGGGTTCTGTGAAAAGCTATGGAGAAAACAAAGGTGTCGAGATCCGCCTTTATAGAGTTATCTATGAACTTATTGATGATGTACGAAATGCAATGGAAGGACTCCTAGAGCCTGTTGAGGTATCAGTGAACTTAAGCACTAGATCTCTTTAGGTTTTTAAGGCATTGACTTTTAGGGGCATATGCTGCTTATGCTTTAACATTGTTGAAATTTTCTAGACTGAAAGATTTGCAGTTGACATTGTTACTTGTGTATTGATAGGAACAAGTGACAATTGGCTCAGCAGAAGTCCGGGCCGTATTCAGCAGTGGTAGTGGTCGTGTTGCTGGATGCATGATAAATGAGGGAAAAGTTGTTAAAGGCTGTGGTGTTCAGGTCATTCGAAGGGGAAAAGTAGTGCATGTTGGCCTTCTTGATTCGTTGAAACGGGTTAAGGAAATTGTGAAAGAGGTATTATTTTATAGCCTGCATAATTCTATTGGCCATTTTGTAGAATTCATAGAAAATGAAAAAAGGGAAGCAACCTAGTGCATGAGAAGTATTACTTAGGTATACTTGTTTAAAATATCTGAATGATGTGTTTATTCGTTGGACTGCAATTTTTTTCCTAGTAACCTCACATACCGCTGAATACATTCATGCCTACATCTTCTTTGGGTTGGAATTCTTAGATATACATACATGCTTGGGTGTGTGCATCTGCTTGCCCTGGAGGAATAGGAGAAAGATTATACCATGACTTAGTTCTTAAATTGGTTTCCATGAAAAATCTTGTTCCTTTGGCCCGATTTTATGAAATATCTTTATCTTCTGGGAGCTGATTACAATGGGATAGCAATGGTGGTAATAATACATGACAAAGAAGTAGTAGGTGCGTGTGCCTTTCCACTGTGGGATGAAGGGCTGAGTTCACAAACACTAAATATTAATTTTGATCAATTTACATACTGACTATTCAGTTTCTACACTGCAGTTAGGCGTAGCAAGATTTATTTTCACTGAAAGTATGATAGAAGCTTTTGTGTGTAGATATATGCCTCTAATCTGATTTCTGGAACAATTAATGTTTCAATGTCAATCTTCAACTTTGACAAAGGATTTCGCTTTATTATTATTTTTGTTTTTGTTTTTGGCATTCATTTAAATTGACATCAAGCTTTTGTGGTGATCACGTGTTCAGGATTCTTTTGGTAGTGGCATTACTTTAATATGTCTTACGTTTGCAATAAGCTGTATATTATCCTCTTGGCTAGGTAAATACTGGACTAGAGTGTGGAATTGGGGTGGAAGACTATGACGATTGGGAGGAGGGAGATATTCTTGAGGCCTTCAACACAGTCCAAAAGAAGCGGACCCTTGAAGAGGCGTCCGCTTCAATGGCGGCTGCAGTGGAAGGAGCGGGAATTCAATTGTAGAAAGGTGCGAAGTCACAGAATTGGCTTATGTGCATGTTTTGTTGGAAGCAAAATATGATGGCCTCAATCCGGCACACGACCACCGTCGTCTGATCAGTGCCAAGACAGTCCTCAGCAGGTTTGCATCGGTTAGTACCCCACACGTGCATTTTATTTTGAGTGTGGGGTGCTAATGATCTATGCAAGATGAATGTACCCTTTTGTTGTATGCTATTACACTGTATATAATTTTATACATTGTAGCTTTCAGCTTTGTTTTGTAAAGAGGGGAGGGACATTCATTCAAGTTCCTTATAGTTCTAATGTTGGGGGGAGAGCACTTGTAACAGATACATGAAATTTGAGAAAAAAGTTACAAAATTCTTTACGATGCTCTGCCCTGGATGCATCATCTGATCTCAATTTCAGGTCCAATGATTCGTAACTGTATTTGCAGAGCCAGGCCTACGTTGCTGGAGACGGGCGACAGGTGGAGTAGAACCATAAGGCCTAAAAATCCACACATGTTGACACGTCAGTAAAAGAAAAATAAAGATTCAAGTGTTAAATTGTAAATAAATCAAATTACATAGATAAAGATTCACAAGTGGAAATCAAGCCAAATTACAAAGAATCAAAGAATCACAAATCTATCTGGTTTAGCCCAAAAACAAATACAAGGGGAAAAAGGCCACTCAGCAGCACGCGAGGAAAGATTAACAGGTACCACGTGGCAGCCTCATTTGGCTTGTGCACCCGGTCAAGAAATTTCAAAATTCGAAAAAAAGCCAACGGTCAGTTGCTTCCAAAGAATAACGGAGATTGAATGCGCCAACGAAAATAACGCCTTTCTTTCTCTGTGAAGATTCAAAAGCACTTCTTCCTTTTTGGGTTCTCTTTCTTTTGCGCAATAAAGAGATTGCCATCGTCATCATCACAGTCTTTGATTACTTGAATTCAAAAACAGTGTATTTAGTACAATTGTCGTTTTATCAATGGAGGAGGAGCAGCATAAGCAATGCCATTCTTTGTTCGAGCATGAGCACGACCCTCTTCTCCTCACTGACGTTTCTTCGCAGCAAAACAGCTCCTTTTCCACTGCCAACTCTCACTCTGACTGTAAGTTTGAAAACCCACTTCTGAACTCCATTTTCTTCAGCATACACAACTGCCCAATATTTTATTTTCATGGCTTCTCTAATTTCTTGATACCCTTCTTCTGCTTTGGCAGACACTTCGCTTTGCTCGCAATTGCAACGCTTGACAATGGTGGATCCTGATTCTTCTTCTTATGCCAATGCAAATGAAGGTAATTTCATGAAAAACCTTTTAGTTCTTTTTGGTTTCTCAGTAAGATTTTATTTTTGTTCTCTAAATCCCAATTGGGAGAATTGCATTATATGTCTACTTGTGTAATGGATCTATTTTAACTGTAATTTAGTCAAGAACATGGAGCCAATTTGAATCTAGACAGATCATAACAGTGGAAGATAAATTTGATCTTTTGATTTTTCATGGGTGTAGATTGTTCTGTGGAAATTTATCAATGCACAGAAGTCATTAGTACACCAAAGTTCGGTGACCCAGTTGCAAATGACGGTCTTGATGGTAAATTAGACTAGTCTTTCCTTTTCTGTGAAAAAAAGATTGGGCAAAAATCTTGGATTTGACTTCAAAATTTTCAAGAGTTTTGATTTATTTATGATACATTTCAGGCCGGTCCATGGTAGGATTTTCACTTACCTCTCCTGATTTGGTGATCTGTTCTGGGTCACCCCATATACCCCAAACCAGCTATGGAGATTCCCCTGAGTTCTTGGATGGTAAATTCCATCAGAAGATGGATTCTTCTATCGAGCTCTCTTTCGAGAACGGAATCAACGAGTCTCAGGTTACAGATACCCATAAAACTCCAACTGTAAAGTTCTCAAACACATTGTGCCAAACTTTTAAAGAAGATTTGTCTCCTGAAGCTTCATTCGAGCTTCTTCCGCCTTCTGCCATTGAGGACAAGTTGAAGGAAGGTTCCCTTCCTGATATAAGCAACAATGGAGGTTGCACAGATGATTTCCTGGGTGGCGATTCTCAAATGGAAAACTGCAAATCACCTGAAGTAAAACTTCTTGTAATCCCTCTCAGGTTCAATATTATTCAGATGGAAAAATAGGATAGACTTTGATATTTTGTGCAAATTATGTCATTGCAGGATAATGGCAATGCCAACGTTGAAGGAGACTATCATAAGCTGCTAATAGGGTATGAGAAACAGAAAAAAGAATTACAAGAGATGAGGAATGCATTGGAGGAGCTTAAAAAGCAAGACAAATCCAAGAGTAAAGAGTGCCAAGAAGCTTGGAAGTCTCTGAAGGAACTCCAAAACGAACTTATGCGCAAGTCTATGCATGTTGGATCTTTGGGTATGGTAATAATGTCCTGTGCCTGTTAACCATTTGAACCATCTGTAAACATGGTACATTGATGCTTGTCTGTTGCAGCTTTTGCCATCGAGGGACAAGTGAAAGAGAAGAGCAGGTGGTTCTCATCATTGAGAGATTTGACAAGAAAACTTAAGGTATTAAGTTGTAAAAATAAAAATACAAAGGTGCCTTTTGATTACACTATATATGATTACAGTGTTTTAAAAAGTTTCATTCGACAGATTATGAAAATGGACCACATCAAGCTATCAGAGGAGGCATTGGCATATAAGAAATGCATTGAAGATATGAATGAAGTGAGGTCTACTATTCAGTCCACTTGTAAGTACATGCCATGTGTTTTTATTTAGAGATACGATATTTGTTTTGCTCTTTCTGGTTTTTGCTAATTTTGTTTTTATTTTTTTTTCCAATAGTAAATCAGCAAGTAAATTTGCATAAAGATTTGAAGACTAAGTTTATTGAAGGGGCTAAAGAACGGAAAGAACTCTACAACAAGGTGTTAGAGTTGAAAGGTTAGGAGTATGCTATTTTTGAATAAGAGAGGTCCAAGTGGGTATGAGATTGAAGTGGGTTTGTGACATTTATTTTGTTTGCTTGTAGGAAACATAAGGGTCTTTTGCAGGTGCAGGCCTCTAAACACTGAGGAAGTTGCAGCAGGAGCTTCAATGGCTATTGATTTTGAATCTGCTAAAGATGGTGAGCTCAATATTAAATCAAATGGGGCTACTAGAAGGACCTTCAAGTTTGATGCTGTATTTGGCCCTCAAGCAGACCAAGGTTTGTAAACAGTTATATAAGAGTTTTTTATTTTGTTTGTCTTGTATATCATTTGAAGTACAAAGGCTCATTACAGTAATATGTATCCTCTTTGTCCTATTTAGCTGATGTTTTCAAAGACACAGCTCCATTTGCAAGCTCAGTTCTAGATGGGTACAATGTCTGCATCTTTGCATATGGGCAGACTGGAAGTGGAAAAACTTTTACGATGGAGGGCACAGAAGAAGCTCGGGGAGTCAATTTTAGGACTCTTGAGGAATTGTTTCGTACGATTAGAGAGCGAGAAAAGTTATATCGATATGATGTATCTGTTAGTGTGTTAGAAGTCTACAATGAACAAATACGAGATTTACTAGTTTCAGGGAATCAGCCGGGAGCAGCTTCCAAAAGGTTGAAGAGATACTTAAACCATCTCTCTTATTTTTTCTCCTTCCAACTTAATCTGATGAAACATCCTTATATTACTGTACATTTCTTGATTTGCGGTTTCTTTTAACTTCATGTATAGATGGGAAGTCATTTGTCATAATTAGACATTTTATTTTCATAAGTTTCCACTCATTTAGTTGGCACTTAGAATAGCAGTATAGGCTCTCATTTTCCACATCTTAACCATTTCTTAACATTCATTCTCTCAAAATGTGAACTGCATAGTAAAGTTTTCATATCCATCTTTGCTCCTCCTTGTTGATATTTTTTCACTTCTGATGATTCACCAATATGTCGGATTCTCTTGCAGTTCCACATGTCTTTCACAAGTGTGAAGGATGGGAAGTTATGATTATTCAAGATTATAGCATCTCACAGTATTGCGATGATTTTGTAGGCTTGAAATAAGGCAAGTCAGCGAAGGGATACATCATGTTCCAGGACTGGTTGAGGCACAGGTAAACAACATGAGTGAAGTCTGGGAAGTTCTGCAAACTGGCAGTAATGCAAGGGCTGTTGGCTCAACCAATGCCAATGAGCATAGCAGCCGATCGCACTGGTCGGTTTATCTTGGTTACAGTCAAATTTTTTTTAATTTTCATCAAACAGGATGTGGTCTAAAGATAGACTGCTAAATGTTAGAGTGGTTTTTTCCTTAATGCAGCATACACTGTGTAATGGTGAAGGGGGAGAATTTGTTGAATGGCGAATGCACAAGAAGCAAGCTTTGGTTGGTGGATCTAGCAGGGAGCGAACGTGTAGCAAAGACAGAAGTGCAAGGAGAACGACTGAAGGAAACTCAAAATATAAATAGATCTCTATCGGCCCTTGGTGATGTCATATCTTCACTTGCAACTAAAAGCTCACACATACCTTTCAGGTTATATAAGTAACAATTAGTCCTTTGTTTGAATACTCTAAATGTGCAAACTGGCCACCTTATCGAGCTATAACTTTCTTTTACTAAATTATGCTTATGTGCAGGAACTCTAAGCTTACCCACTTGCTTCAAGACTCTCTAGGTACTTCAATGGGATCACAGAAGAAGTCAAAGATGAATCAACAATTCTAACTGAGTTTTTTAATGTTCCAACTTCACATTTATTTTTCTCCATTTTCTTGAGATGAAATTAAACTTCTATATATACTTTTTTTGGTCCAAGATATCTTAGTTTATCAGACACAAAAATGTAAAACTAATGCATATGTTTCCTTGTTTTAGGAGGAGACTCGAAGACACTCATGTTTGTTCAGATAAATCCTAATGAAAACGATTTGAGTGAGACCCTTTGCTCACTGAACTTTGCAAGTAGAGTGAGAGGGATAGAGTTGGGTCCAGCAAAGAGACAACTGGACACTTTTGAACTTTTGAGATACAAACAAATGGTACAATTCTTTGCTTGACGCAACTGCAGATTCCCATTTTTGTTTAACCTTATGTTTTGTTTTTATTCTGTGGTTGACTGCTTAATCGATTACATTTCTAACAATCTCGAATCTTATTTGCTAGTTTGAGAAAACCAAGCTAGATGTTAAGAGCAAAGATGTACAGATCCGGAAGATGGAGGAAACAGTCCATGGATTGGAATTGAAGATAAAAGAGAGAGACCTGAAAAACAAAAACCTGCAAGACAAGGTATTATATAGCAAGTGTAATTTTTTTTTATAGCTTTGTATACATACAAGTAACAGAATTATAGGTACTAATCTAGTTCATTTTGCAGGTAAAAGAATTGGAATCACAACTTTTAATTGAGAGAAAGCTAGCACGTCAGCATGTGGACATGAAGATAGCTGAGCAGCACCAGCAGCAAATGAAACATCAACAAGAGGAGCAAACTACCGCACTAACAAGGCCACCTCTTACAAACCGACCTTTAGCAGCCATTACATTGGGAAAAGACCAAGTAAACTCTATTCAACCACTAATGGAGAAGACCAACAACAAACCCCCAGTACCACTTCATACAATGGATGGTTTTGTCAAGCATATTGATCCAACAGAGAAAGAAAACAACCCTGAGATGGCTGAACAATTTCTTGTCCCAAAAAAAACTGGAAGGGCATCTATTTGTCCAATATTTCAGCGGATTCCAGCAACCTCTGCTCCAAGGCGCAACTCTCTAATCCCACTCCCAAGTGTACCATACCGTGTCCAATCCCCACCGCATGTATTACCATTGGCACCAATAGCATACGATGCTGATAAGAAAGTTGATGCAGATGTGTCTGAGACTGACTGCTTGCCTGAACAGACACCTTGTAGCAGTCCTAAAGTAATCAGAAATGGATGCAAGAAGCTAAACAGCATACTGAGACGAAGCCTCCAAAAGAGAACTCAGATAAAATCTCCAATGCCACCACACATGAGAAAAGGTGTGAATGTAGGGATGGAGAAGGTAAGGGTCTCGATCGGAAGTCGAGGGAGGTTGGCACACAGAGTGTTACTAGGAAATGGTAGAAGAGCTGGAACCAAAGAAGGTCAGAAGAATAATAGTCAAAGGGAAAAGGAGAGGGGATGGAATATGATTGGTACAGCAGGGAGAACTGCAATTAAAAGCTGAAGATGATGTATATGTAATTTGTTCAGCTATGGTCACCATAGAGGTTATATTCTTGTAGCCTGCAGGCATGGGGAGAGAGAGGGAGATAGAAAGGTGGATTATTTTGGACGATACTAATTATTTGTTTATTTCTTATATTTGATCATCTTGATGCATCTACTAATGTACAGAATTACAAATTAAGTTTGGAAATGTCAAATGGTATGCGCTTTCTTGTGACACTTAATCAAAATTCTTTTATAAAAAGAAGTTTTGGTGCATAGATATTTCTTTTGTTTTCTTGTCGTTATAATGAGAGTGGCTAAACTTGTTAAAATACCAGGAACTGTTTTGTTGATAAAGATGTCCTGAAGTTCCATTGATGAAGAATTGAGTCTTTGTAGAACATTATCCTCTTTCTCCTCCTTTTTATTAATTTGTTCTCTGTTGATTTTACAGTACAAAACAACATAATATTCGAAATAATAAATTAATCGAAAATACTTGTTTTGCTCAGCTATTCGTTACTTGTTTCTCTGGGTCTCATTTATCAAAATAAATAATATAAAACCAGATCATTGGATGCTTTGCTTTATTAGAATGCCAGGGCATTGTTTAATTGATAAAGAAAGAAGTAAATAAAATGGAAACCCTTCTGCATTGTCTACCCATCCAACCATATTCGGTACTCTCTGTTTGATATCAATAAGTGTATAAGCAGCATACTAGAGGCTAGAAGATACGTAGAGAAGACAAGAGAGTCTATTTTGAATGAGTGTCCATCATCAATGTGTCCTTTCCAGGGGGATCAATGGTGTTACAGCTTTGCACACGGCACTGACGGCAATAACTTGTACAAGCAAAAAGGCTCAAGGTAACTTTTGTTGCTTGGTTGTTTTGATTTTGATTCCACAACTGCGACTGTTTGTAAGATTTGAACTCAGAACCAAGGTAGCCTAAATACATTCTTTGTTGATTTTACGTAACAAAAACAGCATAGAATCCAACATAATAAATTGATCTAAGGTACTTTTGCTCTCTAATTTGTTATTTGGTTATGGGGTCTCATTTATCAAAAGGAAAAATTATAAGACCAGACCAGATCATTTATCAAAAGTACATCACAACTCATCTTTATTCTTTTCTTACGCATAACAAATTTTTTTGATCACCTAATGACTTTTGATGAACAAATTTGGTGACTAGTGACTAGCATTATTCTTTGACCGTGTTTCATGGTTTTACTTCTATGTTTTAGGATCTCATTCGTATTCAACTTGTAAGTCACCTGGGGAAGTCCATTGGAGTGCCATTTTTCCAACATCAAATTTGCCATGATTTCATGAATTTGGAATCTCCAAAGCACAAAGATACACCAACCACATCAGCCATTATAGGAAAAAATATAGAAAAGTTGGAAGCTACTTCTTCAGAGGGGGCCTCAAAAGTATTCGATACCAATCTAGTAGTAGCAATGCTTATTGCAACCGTCACATTTGCCGCAGCTTTCACCATGCCGGGAGGACTTAAAAACGACGGCACGGCGGTGTTGTACGGAGAGGCATCATTCCAAGTGTTCTTGCTATTTGATGCCTTCTCCTTCTTCTTGTCATCATTTCATGGTGGCAACTGTGTCAGGTGTTCTTGTAGCTGCACCTTCAATTCTCATTCAGTATTCAATTGGAGGAATGCTCGTAGCTTTTGCTTCTGGCATGCTTCTAGTGCTGCCCAAACACAGTCCGGTGGGCATTTTGGTGTGCTTAATTTGTGGGTATATATGCTTGTCTATAGTCTTTAAGCTTAGAATTGTGCCTGTATGACTAGCCGCAAATGGTTCGTGACCCCCCATTTTGATGGGGCTTAGTTTTGGTAGGCCTTTTTGTTTAGGGCCTTGGATCCATCTGCCTTTGGTTCCGTGCAGTTTTCCAACGTGCCACTCACAAGAAGATCATATCTTTTTTTAGTGTTAACTTTAATCGAATTGGCTCAAAAGTAGTGGTATATCTATATATATAAAGTAAAAGGCAGAGAATGGTGAAACATTCAAAATACCAGAAAATATCTTTGGTTAATGCAAACATTAAGAATTGAAATTATTAATTAAATGAGGATAATATGGTAAATTCACTTTTTTTAATATTAAAAAAATTAAAATTAAAAACAAAATCAGATAATAAGTCCTACTTTTATGGAATATAACTACCCATAATATGTTTTCTTAATTTTAAAAATAAAATAAAAAGAAAAAAAGAAAACCCAAAGGGCTAGTATATATTGATTAAAAAAAGTAGTGGAATTTGATTTCAGAAATAGCGTTACCATTCTTTGTGGTAGTTCTTAGATAAATAACACACACATGCTCATGCATGTGCCAATTGGTTTTCTTTTTTCTTTTATATTTTATTTTTACAATTAAGAAAAGATAACATGGGTAATTATGTTTCATAAAAGTAAGACCTATTATTTGATTTTGTTTTTAATTTTAATTTTTTTAAAATATAAAAAATATGAATTTATCATATTATCCTCATTTAATTAATAAATTCAATTCTTAATGTTTGAATTAATCAAGGTATTTTATAGTATTTTGAATGTTTCACCATTCTCTACCTTTTGCTTTATATATATAGATAATGATCTTGGACAAAAAAAAGAATAGTTCGGTCAAAACCACTGGGAATATAGATTATCATTATTTAATAAGATGAGTTTTTTTATTTAATTGTTATACATTTCGACAGAAGTACCGATGTTCTATTCAAAGAAAAACAAGTGGTTCTTCAAAACCAAGTCCAAGAATATTCCAAAGAAAGTCAAGGTTCTTCAAGTGGTTCTTCAAAACCAAGTTCACGAAATAAGGATGACGACAATGAAGGGGAACTTAGCAAGTGATAAATTTTGGTAATTATTTGATTAGGTGCCAATTAAATTTATAAATTATATTCACAATTTTTTTTTTCTTCAATTAGGAAGGGGGAACGGAGCATTCGCGCACACACACAGAATGTCATAGAGGAATCGCACCACAGTCCACTAATATGCATGCCAACAGCTCTACCATTGCTGAACTAGTACTCCATTAGAAAGTGTATATCATAATTAATGTGTACTTTGAAAAAGACTAATTTAATACCGAATTTAACTTAGAATCAACATCTACAAACGGGGTCTAACCCAATAAAAAATGACATTGACTTGTAGATCAAAGATCTCATGTTCGAATCCTCATGACATCGTAATTGTGTGTTTGTGCAATAAATCCCCCTCTCCTATAGTTTTGACTATCGATATTACTGAAAAACAAAAAAAAACCCAAGAATCAATGGTCGTCCCAAAGTTCCAAAATCAGAAAATTCCGAAAAGAATTGGATTGGAATTGGAATGTAACTAAAAATTCTAAAAATTCAGAATTTCAAAATATATTAGAGTTTCAAGCTTAGCCTACATGACTAACTCCATGTTCAACTAAATATGAATTAATGACCAAATAAACATAGATGAGTTTTATTTATTTATTTATTTATCATAAATATTATAACAACATCTAAGTACTAGCATATTAATAGTTTTCCGGGCTTTGGGTATGTGTTTTCAATTTTGAGCCAATTTTAACATTTCAAATAGTTGGGCATGTTTAAAATTTTGAACTACTTTCCAATTGAAACATTTAAGTTCCGAAATTTGTTTCCATATCGAAATTGATGTAATTCCAAAAAATTTCAAAATGGAATTGGAAGATAATCTTCCTTCCGAAACTTTTCGAATTGGAATTGGAATCTTCTGATTTTGATATGATGCATCCAAAAACCAAACCGAGTTCGTATACTTGGTTGCTGGTTTTGGTGTAATTGACTTAATTACAAAAATCTATTTGTTGGCAATAGGTTCCCACCACATCCCCCTCGCCCCCCATTGCACTTAGAATTGAACCCCAGTGAAGTTTCTTTCCTCCAATGTAAAAAAAAAAAAAAAAAAAAAAAAAATCTATTTGTTTATTGTTCCATGTGGTTTAAGTCTTTAATGACATGTACTAATCAAGAATGGGTGTTTAAATTATTCTAATTCCTACTTCTCCTGTGTTTATTAACGCATAATTGAAGTGAGTTCAAATTCTCACTTTCCTTGCATTAAAATCCATAATCAAATACACAAAATAAAAAATTATGTGAGTTCCACCTTAAAATCTGTAATCAATTACACTCAAAATCATGCATGGATCCGTTAGGGGAAGTATGGGATTAACTAGGGGAATAGTTGATCCAATTCCAATTCCTTGATCCACAATGGACTCCTTAAACCACCTCCTTAGATAAACTTTAGGCCCTGTTTGGTTCACATAATGAATTTAAGGATAAATCACTTCCCATGCCATTTCCCAAGAGATGGGAAATGGAGATGCATTTTCCATGTTTGGTAATCCTGGGAAAGTAATAAAAAAATACCACTTTATTTCCTTTCACATGTTTGGTTTGTGTAGGAATGTAAAACAAAGTTTGTTTAATTTTTCAATTATACCCATATGGAATCAAATTATTAAAAAAAAGAAAAAAAATGCATTTAATGCTATATTGTAATTCTAAATTGTTAATAAGGATAATATGGTCATGAAAAATATGTATTTAATATTGACTCATTTTTCCAAACTTTCCCTTAAGGAGGAAAACAAAACCCAAGGGGGAGGGGGGGGTGGGGTGGGGGTTGGGGGTGGAGAAGGGCTTCACTTTCCCCCTAATTTCCTATGTGCAAGGCAACGATTTCTCATGTCTAGACTTACCAAACATGGGAAATCAATTGATTTCCCATCCCCAAGCCTCCTTTCCCATGAATTAAAAGGGGCATAAGGGAGGAAATGATAAAACTCACCTCTAACTATACTCCCTATATATTCAGCTCCTAAAATAGGAAGACCTCTAGGAGCTCCTACATCTGAGGAGAGAGAATGGACTTCTAGTTGATCCAATTCCAATTCATTAATCCACAATGGACTTTCTAAACCACCTCCTTAGATAAACTTTAGGGAAGAAGTGATAAAACTCACCTCCTACCATGTTCCCTATATATTTATAGCTCCTAAATAAGTGGAGAGAGAATGAACTCCTAGTAGAGAAATTATAGAGTAGTACTATACTACCATCTCAGTTTGTTATACTTCCATTCAAAATATCTCATATTCATTTTTA